GAACTCAGGACCTTATGCTGCTGAGCTCTCTCTTTAGCCTCCTCCCCTTTTTTTTTTTCATCATCATTATTATTATATTTATTTACTTACTCATTTATTTTTGCGGAACTGCGGATTAAACTCTGGCTCTTACGCTTGCCAGGGAAGCGCTTATTCTGAGCCATCTCCCCGGCCGCCACCCCTTTTTTTTTTAATTTTGAGACAGGATCTTGCTCAGCAGGTCAGGCTGGCCTTGAACTTCTTTATGTAGCCTAGGCTGGCCTTGAACTCATGGTAATCCTGCCTCAGCCTCCTCCATGCTGGGATTATAGCACCCCCTCCCCAGGCCCAGTGTGTTCAATCAGTGCCCTTGTGTGTGGGTTTCAGTCCCATCCTACAGAGGAGGAGACTGCGGCCTGGAAGGTGGAGCTTGCATTGGATCCCGGCTGGCACAGGAGGCTGCACAGCCTCTGCTATCTATCAGGCCAGGGGTGGGAGGGTAGGGAGGAGAGAGGCCGGCGGGGTGGTGTGACCTCTGACTGTCACTGTCATCTGGCCCTTCTTTCTAAAGTCCCTGGCAAGGGCATAGGTGGTGAGCAGGGGAGGGCTCAGCTCCAAGAGGCCTTTCCCTCCAGAGGCCTGGGGTGCCAAGTACAGCGGAACAGCGGCACAGAGCCCCCAGCAATGTCGCTCCTGAGACACGGGCTCCAGGCCCTGCCCCTCTGCCTCTGCGTCCTGGTCCTGACCTGCGCCATGGGTGAGCAGGCTCGGGTATGGGCCCCTCAGCTGGTGGGCGTGGGGTGGCTGTGGGCCTGGAGACAGGCGAGGTGGGTACCAGCCCGTGTGCCTGGTGGGGTGTGCCTGTGTGTGCGTGCATGCGCATGCATATGTTGGGCTGAATGTGAAGTGTAAACGTGGGGTTGGCCCAGAGCGCTGTCATGTGTGTGCCTGCGTGTGAGTGGAGGTGTGTGTGTGTGCTTGTGTGCACACCTCCCTGGGCCACATGTGTGCAACGCAGATGTGAAGGGTCAGTCCGCGTGTCCTAGAGAGCTTGAAGGTCTGCACTTTGTATATGCTTTATTATTATTATTTAGTCTTTTTGAGGACTTGCTCTGCACTTCAGGCTGGCCTTGGGCTCAATTTGTAGCCAGACTCACAATGGTCTTCCTGCCGCAGTCTTCTGAGTGCTGGGATTACAGGTGTGTGCCACCATGCCTGGTTTATGCATTTATTTTTATTTACTTTTTTAGATTTTGTTTTTGTTTTTGTTTCTTTTCTGGTGGTACCTGGGATCAAACAAGGGACCTTGCACTTGCCAAGGCAGGCACTTAAGCCACTGGCCACTGAGCTATATCCCTGGCTTTATTTACTTTTTTCTTTCTTTTTTTTTTTTTGTATTTCAGGGAAAGGTCTACAGGGCATTCAGGGTCTCACTACTAGATTAGACTCATAGTGATCTGCCTGTCTACAGCCTCCCAAGAGCTGAGATTACAGCCCTGGGTGCTACCACGCCTAGTCTCAATTGCCATCTCAGCACGCCCCGGGAGTGGGGCTGGTTTGACAGGCCAGGAGATCGAATCTCAACCCCTGCACCTGCTTGCAGGCACTCTAATCCACTGAGCTATTTGGCCAGCCCTATTTAATTTTTATTTATTTATATATATTTTTTTGGTGCTAGGACTCAAACTCAGGACCTTGCACTTGCCAGGCAGGCGCTTGTGCTGCTGAGCAATATCCTCAACCTGTTATTTTTGAGGCCGGTACTCCCTGTGTAGTTCAGGATGATCCCAAACTCAGAGATCCTCTCGCCTCAGCCTCTAGAATGCTGAGGTGAAGCATCGGTCATCACACTGGGCTGCATTTAAAATGTAAGCATGAAGGGGCCGGGGAGATGGTTCAGTGGAATAAGCGCTTGCCTGACAAGCGCAGGGGCCTGAGTTCAATCCCCAGTTCCGCTAAAAAAATAAATAAATAAATAAAATAAAATGTTAGCTTGACCAGGGTGGCAGCACACACCTGCAACCCAGAACGCTGAAAAGCTGAGGAGGGGGAACTGCAAGTTTGAGGATGAGGGGGGAGAGGGAGCATCAGGCAGGGAGGGAGTGCCTTACAGGCTGAAGGGAAGGGTCACACAAGAGTGGGGAAGGAGGGGCCGGGGAGATGGCTCAGTAGGATAAGCGCTTGACTGGCAAACGCAAGGATCTGAGTTCAATCCCTGGTTCCGCCAAAAAAAAAAAAAAAAAAAAAAAAAGAGTGGGGAAGGGAAGGCCCATGAGCAGAAGCAGGAGAGTGGTGGGGAGGTGGCTGAGGAAAGTAGGTCCCAGAGGACAGATGTGGGCTGCTACCTGGCCACAGGAGGGACTTGGAGACAGAACTGGGGCTCTGAGGCTCCTCACTCAACTGTTCTCTGTCCCACCCAGCACACACCTCAGCAGAAGACCTGAGCCCCAAGACAGACCCTGAGGAGAGTAGCTGGGGCCTGGGCAGGCTGAAGGGGCTGATGGAGCCCATGGTGACCAGGACCAGAGAGAGGTGGCAGTGGTTCTGGTGAGTGGGTGCTGTGGTGGGTGGGGAGGGGCCAGCAGCCTGAGACCCCCAGGTCTGAGGGAGGGGCTGGGCCTGGACCCCAGGTCTGAGGCCACAGGCTATGCCTGGACCCAGCTCACAGGTATCGATGTAAATGGGGCAGGAGCCCTTGGCATGCCTCACTAGCTGGAGTCTCAACTATCCCTTCTCCCACAGGAGTCCTGGGACCTTCCGAGGCTTCATGAAGACCTACTATGAGGATCACTTGAAAGACCTGGGTCCCCGCACCCAGGCCTGGCTTATCAGCTCCAAGGACAGCTTCCTGAACAAGACCCGCAGCCTGTGCCCCAGGCTCCTCTGCAAGGACTCGGCCCAGGACTAGCGAGCTCCTGCCGCCCCTGCCCACAATAAAGCTTTCTTACCTGTCCTGGACTTGCTCACTCTGCTCTGCATCCTCCTCACCTACACCTAGAAATTCAGGAGTGGGATACCTGGCCAGGGAGGGATAGGAGGGGCGCTGGGAGCAGAATCAGAGAGATCGGACACCCGTGCGAGTGCATGCACGCACACATACACACATACACACATACATACATGCACACTGTGTGTGGACTTGCAAGGATAGCAAGCTCCCCCCCACCCCAACCGGGGATTGAACTCAGGCCCTTATGCTTGCCAGGCAAGTGCTTATTCCACTGAGCCATCTCCCCAGCCCAAGGACAGCAAACTTTAAAGCACTGTAGAAGTGGTAAGCCTGGCTGGGTGTGGCGGTACATGCCAGTAATCCCAGCACTCAGGAGGCTGAGGCAAGAGGATCATTGTCAGTTTGAGGCCAGCCTGGGCTACATTGAGACCCTGTTTCTTTTTCTTTTTTCTTTTTTTTGGGCGGAACCGGGAATTGAACTCAGGCCCTTGTGCTTGCCAGGGAAGCGCTTATTCTACTGAGCCATCTCCCTGGCCCCTAGACCCTGTTTCAAAGAAAGGAAGAGAGGAAGGGAGGGAGAGCGAGAGAGAGCGAGCAAGAGTGAGAGAGAGAGAATGGAAAGGAAAGGGAAGGGAAGGAAGGCTGGAGAGCTGGTAGGGCAAACAGGTCCCCAAGGTGTCCCCTTTCCCTTGGACCTGATTTTCAGCAGCTAGAGGCCCCAGACACCATTCCTGGTGGATACCTGGAGCCCCCAACTCCTCTCCTGCCCCCAGCACTGCCACTTCACTCTCCGAGAGGAGGTTTCCAGAGGCTTGGCCCAGGGGGCCATCACTGTCCTTCCTGCTCCTGCTGCCCTCTCCCGCCCCGCAGCTCTGTTGGCCAGGACTTTGGCCCAGGAGAGCAGAGCAGTGGCCGCGTGGCGGGAGGTGGGTCGGGCGCTATAAAGCCTGTGCCTGCCGGGGCTGGAGAGGACTCCCGCCCAAGCCTGATCGGTAAGACAGGGACGGAGGGGAGAGGGCGGGGAGGGGGCGACGACGGGGGAGGTGCAAGCAGGGCTCAACAGGAAGTGGCCAGGGACGCCTTGTCTTGCAATCCTGGAAGGCAGAATGGAGTAGGTGCCCAGCCTGGTCCTTCTCCCCAGGTCAATGGGTCTCAACCTCTGTCTCTTTTGGGTGCTCACCGCTGAGGTGTGGGTGAGAGCTCCTGCCCATCCGCGGCTGGAGGATGCAGGAGAGCGGCACAGCGCAGGCTGCACGGGACCGGGTCGTGGGGAACTCGAGTCAGGAGCGATGGTCAGCACGGGGTGGGGCCTTCTCAGCCGGATGCTGTG